CTCCCACGCGGCAGACCAACCGAGGCAGATTGAACGCAGCACCTGCGCAATTATCGCTTGGCAATGGTCAGCTTGTGGACGTCGGTGACGCGGAGCAGCCTAGATACAATCACGCAAGCGAAGCTCAGGACGGAACATCGCCACAAAGTGCAAAGCGCACCAGACCACCAGCCCTTGCAGAGGATAGCCAAAGCGGGGTATCCTCTAGCGATAGCGAGCTGTCAGAAGCCGAATCAGATCGCGCAACTGCGACGCCGGAGAACCCAAGCGATGCGCAAGCAGCCACTGCGAAGCCAACGGGCACTCGACAGAAAAAGCGCGCGCGGTTTGTTCTTCCTGCGTCTGAATCTAAGAGGGATATGAAGCTCTCTTCCGGCGCTCCTCGACGCTCTTTGCGCGCTGCCACTCAGACGACGGAGGTGATGCCAGGATCGCGCTCGGCTTCTCCAAGCGGTGCGCAGGGTCCCAGCTCCGTGAGCTTGGCACGCAATTGCATTGCAGCTTTGGCACCTTCGTACGACATTGATGGCCTGTTGGCCAGCGCCATCGTCTTCCACCGAACGGCTACCATTTCAGCTACGGAAGCGTGTCGCTCCGTGCTATCTTCTACGCCAGGTCTGTTGCGCGGACAAGTAGGACCGCGAGCCCCGGTCACTGTCTCTGCTACTGCAGACGTCGATGTCGCAAGCTCTACCGTCGTGCTCTCGGCGGGTCAAGTGCATCCCGATTGGCCATCGAACGAAGCAGGACAGAGCTTTGAACGATTCGCTCGCAAAGCCTGGGTGGAGCTGCTCGAGTCCGTCTTGCACTCCCCAGACGCCCCGCAGTTTGGCACGATCCAGCGAGCGGGCAAGGACTCGGCGGGGAATCCGCTCGAGAACTGGTTCTACTACGATAAAGAGAAGGACGGGGACAGGGATAGAGCGGAAAGCTTGGGCGCCTTTGTCAAGCCTATTCGTCAGGCTCTCAAGACGCAAAAGGCAGTGTTTTGGAAAAAGGTGATTTTGCGCTTGTCTTGCACTTTTTTGCACCGAGCAGAGGTATGCTGACCTTTTTTTTTTTTT